AGAATTACTATATTATTTACTGTTGCATTATAGGCGAATCTGTTTTTTTTGAAATTTTTTTTTTAAAAAAAAACTTTGAGCGAAGATATCTCAGCAACCACCTGATCAACTTCGTTGATTTTTTTATTGAATTCTATAGATTCATAAAATTCAAATAAAAAAAAATTCATGAATTTGATCAGGTGGTTACTGAGAAATCGTAAAATCCACGTACAATCGATTGCAATCGGACAATCGGGCATGCAGTGATCTACAAATTTATCAAAAGTCGCATCAGTTTGAAAATCGCGATAATTAATCAGATTACAATCAATTGTTCAGTACGCCATGATACTATATGTGTCAAAAATTATAACCTTCATTTTTCATGAAAATCAAAAAAAAAATTAAAAGACAAAGAAAAACGATTCGAAACATAATATAAATAATAGTAATAAAGGCTAATATAGCATTCTAATATTTGACCAATATTTTCTAAAAAAATATATAACGATAAAGAGAAAAAAATAATCGAGATTATCCGACATTTTATATGATTATGTGCCATGAAATTTTTTGCAAAATATCACGGAAAAACTTCACATGGTCATATCTAAATATCGGATAACACCATTATTGGGCATAAGATAATAGAAAATTTTTCATCGTCTGCCCAATAATGTATACTTGAAAAGCTTGTCAACGAAGTGACAGAGCGATCATTATTGCGAGATCAGAGGGCTTAGATCACGTGGAAATATGCTGTTTAACCTTTTATGGAATAGTTGTAATTAGTTGGTAGTTCGCTAGTTCTAAGCAGGTTTTTCGTGATGTAGCGGCCTGATTGCATATGATGATATTATGGTTATTAGTTTACGGTAAGTCATTGTTATCAAGTAAGGAGTATGGGTCTCCTATGTGGCGTGAGACGCCTTTGTCCAATAAATGGTTATTTAAAGGGTTTGAAGGTTGTTAGTAGATTATCTTTCTTTTCGCTATCGCTCGCCTTGTGTTAAGGCTGGCTCTATCCCCCCATTCCCTCCCTAATGTCGTTTCTGTTCTTTCCTGTTCTTTTAGCAGTTGCTTAAAATGTTGGTTAGTAAGCCCTGTATTGGTAAGGAGAGGCTCCGCGGCTGTTCAGACAGTGCAAGGACCTCTTAGGCTCTGTGGCTGCTTCGGCAGTGCAAGGACCTTTTAGTTAGGCTCCACGGCTGCTTCGGCAGTGCAAGGACCTATTAGTTAGGCTCCATGACTGCTTTGGCAGTGCAAGGACCTTATAATCGAGCTCCACGGCTGCATTGGCAGTGCAAGGACCTGTGCAGTACATATTTAGGGCGTTTGAAATACCCGATCCTCTTTTTTTTGCTATAAAGGCTTACGATAGTTATGGACTTAAACGTTTAGATTTTATAATATATGTCTAGGGTAGTGGGCTTGAGATTACGTGTTTCCTTAGTAGATTAAATGGTACAGTAGTGCCTTGGGATGACAGACACGTTTAGATTTCTATACTGAATGACCAGCGTAGCGAGTTTGTGGTTATGCATTTTCCTAGTCCAATTATATGGTACAGTAGGGTCTTGAGATAGCGGACCTATCCCCATATGTTTTTTCATCTAATTAGTAATAAAGATAAGTCTCTGATCGAGCAATAATAATATCTAAAAAAAGAATAATAAACAAAGATCATCATATGAGAGCAATTATATATAAATTCCCTGACACGTAGATTTTTATTGATTATTATCTATAGTAAAAAAAATTCAGATTTATATACTAATCCTTACGAGCCAATTGTGCATTGAACTTTTGATGTTGATCGATCTGAACCTTTGTATAAGTCTGCGATACAAATTATAGAAGACTTTTTTGCTGTATTTATCGATGGAAGTAGTGGATTTGGGTATCCAGATTATGATGGGTAGTGCCGATATAAAGATAACATTAATAACAAGTAGAATCATTAATTAAAAATTATGTATCACGTGAGCGTATAAATATTCTTGGTCATGTAATAAATATATTTCAGCCCCGAAATATTTGAGGCATGTAAATTATCATAACGATAGAAAATATTGTATAATGGGTCCGTATTACAATCTGGTTATTGGTAATTGGTAACTTTTGACCTTCTTTGTATATAAAAGAAATTTTCTCATAAATTTATTATACACTGTATTCTTAATTTTAAAAACGTGTTAAATGCGTTTGTAAGTTTATTAAGTTTATAATCCACTAACTGATGCATTACTGTTGTTACAATACTTACAAAGATGAAGAAAATGAAGTCCTTCAATCATTATTAAAAAGCTTTTATGCGGTACCGGACAGCAGGAAACATCCAATATTTTTTCAAAAGCGCCAAATTTGAAGATTATATAATCAGTCAATTTTCACATAATGAATTTTGATTGGTTAATAAATTATATAGATGATTTTTTTTTTATATATTAAATGTCAAACTTTTAAATCTACATAAAATTTAAAATACTATAACTCAAAAACAAACTAGTTTAGCAAAAATCCCTCTTACATATTTGTTGTTTTTTATTCAAACTACAATTTTTATTAGAATAAATTTTACTTGGTTTATAATTTTAAAAAGTTATAACACTTTTTATATTTTATATATAAAAATTGGATGTTTCTTGCTGTCCGATACTGTACAAATAAAATTTTATAACTAAGAAAATTTGTATATTAAAAACTAACATAAAATGACAACTTTATTAGTCAAAATTTTATCTAAAAAAAGTTTTGATAAAACAGATTTCATTCATATAATATCAAAATTCAAACTTGTCTGTATCAAACAATTTAATATTATTATTTTCATTTTTTTTGTTATTGAAACATTCTTTACTATTATTGATTTCAATGTAAGGGGTATTTAAATATCATCTAGTATTCAGAAAATGAATGATTCTTATACAAGGGGGTTTTAATTCTAGAGCATCATTTGACATTTAAATTATCTTCAGAAAAAACCTAATGTTAGGCATTGTAATAAATATCATACTTGTCATGAATTAATGAGTTTAATTTTATTCTTTTGCCAAAATCTTTATTTAAATTTCATTTTATTTCTATAATCAGTTTTTTTAAATCCATTTTATTTGTAATGGCATTGAAAATGTAAAAATTATATAAACTTAGTTTGGAATGTTTTTTTTTAATAAAATCGAAATAGTCAGTCATAACTAATAAGTAATAATGCAAATGCAGTGATCATCATTTTATCAAGTAAACAAACTTTTATTCTCATATAATCAGTATTATCAGCCAATCAAATCAAAGTATTCTAGTCATGACCTGGAATCCTAAGGGTAGTCTACAGTTAAAGGATATAAATTTCATAGATAGTAAGTATGCTTTATTTTTAAGAAAAACTCCTATAATAAAACAATTAAAAAATATGAATCTACTGGACAGTTTGTGATGATTTTACTACTATTAGAATGAGAATAATTGTCTACAATTTTTCTTAAAAGCTCAAAAAAGGTTTACTTCATAATAAAATATTTTTGTATGTAAGCGAGTCTTATTTCTGCATTATAAAAAACTATATTAAGTCCTGCAGTTTTTTACTATAAAATTTACTATTTTTTATACCCTTCAGAGCCAAACTACCTCTTAATTACATTAGATTAGATGATTTTGAAATAATAATATATATTGATATTATAGTAGATAATTTTTCTGTTTATTGCATTATAATCAATTATGAAATATGTTACTTAAATATACAGTATATATAGTATATTATCGATATATGATTTATCAGAATAAAAAAACCAAAATAATATTATATATTTCTATAAAATATATGGTTAGTAGGCATTTAACTAGTGTTTTCCTTTGTTACACCCATATATATACATAAATTTTTTGAACTATATTCAAAAAGTTACATATAAAAACAAATTATTTGAACTTTAATTATTTAAGTTCATTGACAATATTGATTTTGCCAAAGATTTTATAGAAGTATAAAGAATGTTATTAATATTTGTTTCTACTTTATTTGCATCTTGATATTTGAATTATCTAAAATTAAACTCCAATTCTGCCCAAACTTTATACTCTAATTTGCTAAATTTTTCATTATTTATAGATTCAATTACTGTATAGTAATTTAAGTGAATTGTATATATTTTAATTGAAATATGTATTTAAATCTTTATTTATATGCAAAAATGTTAAGGTTTCTATTTTATTGACTATTATTACACTTTCAACAATACAATTATTGAACATAATCTCTGCAATAAAAATATTCATTCAAGTAATTGAAAAATAAATGACCTTTATTAGATCTGCTCTTTTTAAAAAGGCTATTGTTTCTAATTTTTGTATCATTACTTTTTTAATTTATGAATTGCAAAATATATATTTTTATACATCTAAATTAATTGATTATTTGTTATATTATACTGTTTAATATCATGCTTTTTTAAAAAAATATGATTATATGTCTAGTAATAAAATACTAATTTTGTTAGAAACCTATTAACTTCATTTTGCATCTTTTGCATTGCATTAATTCAAAATTGCATCTTATGCAAATATATTGATTTTCATTACTAGCAATTAAGTGTACATTTTGCTCAACAAAGATTTGAAATAATTTTAAAATTTTGTTGATTTGTTATTAAAAACTTCTTGTATCATTAAATTTATCATATATAACACTAAAATTAACATGATTTAAAAAATTTTAAACAATATTAAAAACTTTTTCAAAAGTTACAATTAATGTAATTGGCATCCTTGTACGAACTTAGGCAGATAGAAAATTTTATTCAATAAGTAAATGAAATAATATTTATTGATCATCTGATCTAAAGATAAAATTAGTATCAATTTATTCTTTTCGAATTTACAGCTAAATGTGCTGATATTTTGCCAATAGTTTATCATATTTAAGCCTATTTATAATATAATTTATATTAATTAAACTGAATTTAGCTAGTTACTGTCATTACTGTTTTCTAAATGAAAACTATAGTATAATAATAAAATCAGAAAATTGAAAGGCCCATTAATTTTAAAGGAATATTAACATTTTTAAGTTTACTAGATACTATATTAGCTTTTAAAAATTCTTCATTGAAAGCAAAAAATGAATAATCTATTTCAAATTCTGTATTTTCAGGTTTATTATCTTCAGATTTATCATCTTTAGATTCATTATCTTCATATTTATTATCTACAAATTCATTTTCAAATTTAATATTTTCTTGTTCTTTATTCTTAGATTTATCATTCTCATATTCATTATTTTTAGTATTTTCAGATTTTGTATTTGCAGATTTATTATTCTCAGATTCACTGCTTTCATTAACTATATTTAATTTAATGCTATTACTTTCATTTTTATTCTTATTTTCTAAGCAAATAGGCCATAAAGATTTGTATAATAAAATGATTGTTGACTTTTGTTCTGGGCTTATTGGAGTCTCTAATGATATATCTTTTTAATTTTTTTTAATTTTTTTGTTCCCATACTTATTATAGAAACTTTTCGTACATTGTTGCTATAAATATTAATTTTGTTTGGTAATCCAATTAGTATTTATGCTATTTGCAAATTTATAAAATTTACACTTATCATTATACAAATAAAATATAAAATAGAATTAGATTTATTGTATTACTTAAATTGAAACATTAATTGATAACTTATTTGAGTTTATCAAGATTTTTAATTAATATTAAAAATCTAGTTCTAGTTGCAGATTTTATTTCTATGATAGCTTCAATAACTTCATCAACAGTAATTATTTGTCTATTATTATTAGTTTTTGCAATCTTTGCAATAACCTGATATTTACAGCTATCTAATTTATCAGAAAAATTTATATAATAATATTTATTACTATTTAAATTTGTAAAATCCCTGACATAAGTACTTGCTTTTTGTCACTTTTTTCAAAATGATCTTTATTTTTTGACTAATAGGCTCTTCGAATATTTTATATAATGGAATCACATTATTTTGATTAATAACTTTTAAAGATTCAAAATTTTTCCTAAAACATGCACTTATCCAATTTGCAATATTCTCTTTACTAATGGCATTCTTATTTGTTGTTATAAAACAGTTAGTATCTATATCATATTTATCTTTTTACAAATAAAAAATATAGTTCAATTTTAATGAATTATTATTATATAACTCTTTAATTTCTAGCTAGTATTTATTAAAACTAATTTTTTCTTAAGATAAATAATGTAATGTTATGTACAATTTTTTGAGATAAGATATATTTATATATATTGAATATTTTAATTAAATCTTGATATGGTCACTGATTATTCAAAGCATCGATCATTGCTTTTTCAATTTCTTCTGTTGGTTGCATTGACTTCTTTCTTAAAATGATTTCAATTTTTAGATATGCAATTTCCAGATAAATATCGTCTATGGATAGATTATTGCTTAAAAATATTGAAGAAAGAAGCATTATTTTAGTCAATATGAATAGCAATGATTGAAAAGAATCAATATCTATATGCTTTTTCAGTAAAAATAAATCTTTTTTATTTTTGAGTGTCAATGCTTTTGCATAACATTTTTCAAAATCATTTATTTTTAGTTCTGATTCATAGTTGAATGCTGGCTTTCTTGTAGAATGTATATTTTGTGAATTAATAACTAATCTATAATTCAATTTGTACAATTTTAATGTGTTTTTAGTAGAAATAAACTTCAGTTCTGATTCATCTATTTCTATATATAGAGCATAATAATTATTCTCTTGAATTAACATATCTTTAAATATATAATAGTTTTCTTCACTATGGCATATTCTTTTATGAGATGCATTTATAAAGTATGTTCTGTAGTATAAATTTATCAAGACATCTTCATCTAAAGCTAAAAATTTTTATACATTTGTTAATGTTAAATTTTTATTAAATTTTGCCTTAATAAGTTGAGTAGAGTTTTTATTTTCATTATTAAAAGCAATTAGTTAAATTAATTTGGCTACTATATATAAAGCATTATAATTAATTTCTGAAACTAAAACATCCTTAAGTTTATAATTTTTCTAATCACTATAATTTATTACTTTATAAGATGCATTCATAAAGTGTATATTCTGCTGATTCATTAATATATCTTTATCTAGAATCAAATACTTCCAAACATCTTCTAATGTTTTATCTACATCTAGCTTAGCTTTAATTGGTTGCATAAACTGCTTATTTTCATTAATAAAAGTAATCAACCATGTTGAACAAGAATTTTTCAAAATTTTTGAAATACTTAAAATTGATTTGTCTACTATATACAAAATGTAATAATTGCCTTCTGGAATTAAAACATCTTTAAGTTTATAACTCTCTTTATCATCAATATCGATTATTTATGAGATGCATTCATGTAATGTATATTCTGCAAATTCATCAACATATCTTCATTTAGAGCTAAAACTTTTTGCACATTTGCTAATGTTTCATCTATATCTAAATTATCTTTAATTAGTTGCATAAACTTGTTACTTTCATTAATAAAAGTGACAAACCATTTTAAATAAGAGTTTGTTTTGATATATAAAGCATAATGTTTATTTTTTTGAGCTGAAATATCTTTAAACCTATAATAGCATTCATTACCCAGTATTATTGGTTGAAAATGTTTATTTATAAAATGTAAAATTGATACTTTTTCTTTTGAATTTAAAGACTTTTGTACATCCACTAACAGTTTATTTGCATTTAATGTAACTTTAGCAAGTTTACTAATCCTTCTTCTATTAATAAAAGTAATCAAATTTATTAGGTAATTCCTACTAAGAAACATATTTAAGATGAAAATTAATAAATTTTGCTAAGCTAAATAGATAATTTTATTTTTGTTTAGAAAAAAATGAAGACACTATATGTTCAAATAACATTATTCTTCACAAAGTCTAAAAATAAAACATCTTATTACAGAGAACAAGTAAAAGATACTATAAATAACTAAGCTAAAATGGGTATCATGTTGCCACAATATAAACAAGCTAATGTGATACAAGTAATACATGCTAGATTTGCACAATTCACTAGTAAACAAAATTTGTGTTCGAAAAAAAAAATTTATGCACAGAAAATGATACAAACAATATTAATGAAAGACAAATACATTGATTATTTTAAACTTAAAAAGTTTATTAAGCTTTTTTTCTGTCTAGATATTCATTGCACCAAAAAAAAAATAAGTGTTTATATACATAGTAATTACTACTTCTAAGTAAAGAATATGTTTAAGTACAAACTTTGTACAATAATATCATAAATGCAAAATTGATTTATAAAATGTCATATATATATACAGTATATATATGCCTAAATCTATTATTTAGATTGCAAAAAATGAGTTTGTTCAAAAGAGAAACATTAAAAGTATTTAACTTCCAAATTGAAAATAAATCAAGTTTTACCAAGTTGTTTGAAACAAGTAAGGAACTTAAAGATGTAAGAAAAGATTTAGCAATAGGCAAAAATAATTTAGAAGCTGATGAACTTCAATTTATTAACAAAGATGGGATAAAAATCACTTATAAATGTGAGAAAATTTATGATTTAAAAAAAGTTTGCAATGAAAAATTTATAATATATATAAAAAATTTGCTGAAAAGTATTAATGTTTATATTAATAATTTGGAAAAGATATGCTTTTTAAACTCTAAACATAAACTTGCAAAAATTTATGAAACTCTTATTATGAAAAATATCATAAAAGAACCCTTCTTTTTTAGAAAACAAGTTGGAAATATAATTAACTTTGATGAAGAATTGAATAATTTAAAAAAATTTCTAAAAGATGATAATACATTATATATTTCTACTTTGCAATATTTTGATATTATTATTTGTATCTATCATAGTTAAAATTATAGAATGCCATTTAAACTTAATTTAAATAAAAGGAAAGCTCTTGTTACAATCAGATCTATGCTTGAAAAACAAACTCCTGATAGTATAAAATTAAATTATCAGTTTTTTGACCAAAAACATGTTCTTATTTTAGAATTAAATAAAAATAAGAAAAAACTATATGAAATTTTGCATATTAGTAAGCTTAGTTCAAATACATTAAAGATTTTCAAAGAAGATGGCACTGATTTTGCAAATCTGGCTAATAAATGTAGATATGGCTTTATTATAAACAAATTTTCAGTAAAACAAGTTTAACAATACTATGCATTTACAATTAGAGCAATAACATCATATATTGATTATAATCATATGAAAAGTGAATTCAAATGCAAGAGTGTATATTATGAATTATACAAGCAAAATTTTATCACATTCAAAAAAGCTGATACTAATTTCATTTTGTCATTAATTTCAATTTCTTTTGATTAAGAGTTTTCACATAAAATGTTAAACTTCTATAAAACATCTAAAAAATATTCTTATAATAAAATAAGACACACAACAATAGACATAGATAAGAGTAATATTCAATTAACAGAAGAGTTTAAGCATGAAGTTGAGTCAGCATTATAGAAACCTATTCAAGATAATAAAATAGTAAATCTTAGAAAAATTACAAAAAAGTATAGCCACTTCTATATTTGATCTATATCTTTTAGTAGAGTTTCTATTCATAAAATATTAAATGTTGAGCACTCAAGTATTGTTTTTACTCATTATTATCTATGGCTTAAATTTTAATACAATTGATTTATTAAATTTACTTATTATTAAAGATGGTCATAGACATGCAGAAGAAATTTCATCAAATATTTATCAAATATAGTAGGTGCAGGTATAAGTTACAATACTACAAATAACTCAAATTCATCAAAAAGCAGATCTAGTTCCATTCATAAAATAAAAGGTGGCTACACTTCAGAATACACCAATGATAATCCCATCTATTGGATTAATTCACTCAGAAATTCAGACACTTAGGAGATTATTAAATATTATAATATTTACTTAATTTTTGATCTATTAGAAGATAATTTGCAAACTAGAGTTCTGGAAGCTTTAGAGAAAAGAATTTTAAAAGATATATTAATTTCTTTTTACTGTTTAAATAAAATAAAAATTTGTAACAAATTATAAATAATACGATACTTAATATGCAAAAGTCAGAGTTGAAAAAATTGAATACACTACAAATAAGAATAAACTATATGCTCTTGATATAGGAGAAAAACTAGATGACATTTCAAACATTAAAAATATAAAATATTTACTACAGTTATGAAAAAGTGCAATTGGCACATATTTTCTTCATATGTAGTTTATAATACTTCTAATGCATTAGTAATCTTTGTTCAACATATTTCAAGCAAAAAAAGGCCTAAAAAGAAAAAAAGAATTGTTAAAATTGAATGAATTGTTTTAAGATATCCAGATGACTTTTTTGATCTTGATTTATTAAATCAAATTATATATAAAAGCAGAAAATATAACAATTTTTCAAACTTAATAAATCCATATATTATAAATAATATTTCACATCAAGCAGATTGGCAATATAAAAATAGATTTATGTTGTTAACATGCATTTTAGATAAAAAAATATATTCAAATTTGAAGGCAAGACCTTATAATTTTAGCTTAATATTTGGCATAAATTTCTCTTTTTTAAAAGATTATACATGTTTTTTGCATATAGCTCCAAAAATCATAAATTAATAACCTATAATAATAAAGACTCTTACTTTTTACAATGCTTGAAATTATGTATTTGGTAATTATATCTGTTTTATTATAATATTATGTTTTAAATCTTACTTAAAACTAAAAACTTTTTTTTATTTTTTAACTTCACTTTTACATAACTCTAATATTTATTTTTTAGTTAATAACTCATTAAATTTATTACCAACTAATATTCCTATAACAACAAAAACAATATATAACATCCTTCCATCTAATATCTCATCCTCTTTAACAAATAGTCTTCATAATAATAAAATACTCTTTATTGAACAAATTACAACTGCCAACAACTTATATCTTTTACTTTGGAATAATATATATATACAAACTAAAAAATCTATTCATGAACCTACTCCTTCCTGGTTTACTAAACTTTGTAATCTAATTCAAAATAATACTATGCACCAAACATAGTCACATCTTTGTGAAAAGATTTGAAAATATTTATAAAATTGCAGAAAGTGCTAAAGATTTTAAAAATAAAGAAAGTAATTTATTAAGATCTTTAGATTTTATAAATATTAGCAAAAATATTAAAAATTTTGTAAATTTTAATTAATTTATATTTTTAATAATTTTATTATTTATAATAAATTTAAATATAAGACTATATAAAAACTTTTTAAAAATTTTGAAAAATCAAAAAGAGATTCTATATCATTTTAGAGAACTTAAAACTAAAGTAAAAAGTGTAAAAAATAAGTTAAAATAAATTAAAAAGAAATTGGTAGAGAACTTTAATAATACAAATAAAAAGATCTTTTAAAAAATAATATTTTAATTTTAAATTGTATTATTTAATTATTTAATAATTTTAAAGATTTTTGAATAGTATTCAAATAATTTAAATATTTGCAAAAGTATTTAAATTTAATAGAAGTTAGATTAAATTAGAAATAAAAAAATAAATAATTCTATTTTTTATAAAGCTACTTATCCCTTAATTTGTAGACTAATACAGACAAATTTGCCTATATTTTTGTACATTTTAAACTTTAATCTACTTTTTTAAGATATTAAAATATTTAAATAAAACTTTGCATACTTATATTTGAAAATAAGGATTACTTTTTTGTAATATTTATTTATATATTATAAGATAAAAAGTATAAGTTACTTATAAGCTAAAAATAAGTAAGTTTAAAAAAATTTTTTAATTAAAAAAATAATTTATAATTCTTTGATAAATTCTTTAAATATTGGGTTTTAAAAATATAATTTCTAATACAATATCATAGTTTATATAAAGAATGACAACTTTTATTATTGCACTTTTAGTAATTTACTTATAAAAATTAAGACTTATATTAGAAGTAAAGATTTTTATAAACAGAAACATATAAAATTTTAAAAATTTAAAGAAAAAATTTTATAGTAAAAAGTTCAAAATAAAAACTTTAAACTTTATTAACTTAAAGTTTTGTAATAATTTTAAAAACTTTTCTTAACAAAGTTGATAAAATAGAACTAATATTATATTTTTTACTTAAAAAATATATTGCTAAAATTAATATTAAAGATTTTATTTAAAAATTATTTTTTTTTAAAAAAAGGCAAACAAATTTGCCTGAGTTATAATTTAAGGGATAAAATTAATTTTATTATATTTTTTAAGATATTTTTAAATTTTTTTTATATAATAAGTTATGTTAGATATTTTAAATTTATATTAAAATTTATGCAAGTTTATTAAAAATATGTAAAATTATTAAAAAATTTAATAAATTTTAATATTTTTTTATTAGAGTAATTATAATAAATTTAGTAATTTTTTATTATAAATTTGTAAAGTATTAAAATAAATAATTACAAAAATTTTTTTTATGCAAATATTTAAAGTTATTAAATAATAGAATAAATATAGGTGTAGCCGATGGCTACATGTAGCCTGTGTAACATAAGAGTAATAGTAAGTTGTACAATCATTAGTGTAATGTATAATGCGCATATGCATATAAAAAAAAAATATCGATTA